AACGCCCGAGGACATCCCAGAACGCCCGACGACATCCCAGAACGCCCGAGGACATCCCAGAACGCCCGACGACATCCCAGAACGCCCGAGGACATCCCAGAACACCTGAAATCATCTAAGAATACCCGAGAATATGCCAGAACACCCGGAACTGCGGGAGGTAGGAGCAGAAATGCTGACCTGGGCCGATGCCTGCCGCCGTCATCTGCGTCGCCATCAGTCTGGCCAGATGTTTGATCTGGGCGTCAGTGCCGGCCGACTCCACAGGCGTGTAGGTGGCCTGGAAGGAGGCTGGCATGACGTCTGGCAGGTACACCATGCTGATGAGCACCTGGGACAGAGACCACGGTTAGCAGGCTGGACGGGTCCGAGTCGGCTTTACAGACCGTGCCTCCTCACCAGGTTGGCTACGTTGTCGGGCGTTAGCAGCGGGCGTAAGAACTCTGCCGTGAGGTCGATGGCTGAATGTGGAGCTGGAACCGCGGCTGGCTTCGGGGCCGCGAGTGGGGCCGGTTCCTCTTTGTCTTCGTCGTCCTCAATGAGAGCTGGTTCTGAAAGCAGGACAACAGAAGTCTTAGGGACAGGGCGTGGCATCAGGAAGCAGGACGCTGGCGAGGACTCACCCATCTTGACCTTCTTTCCCTCAGTGGACTGCTCGTAGCGAGGCCTTTTGCGCTGCTCCCGCGGTGCCGGTGTGTAGCGGGTTATTTCGCTCTGCGGCATTCCCAGATCCAGCAGCAGGGTGCTGATCTGGACCTGGAACTCCAGGCTGCAGGGGTGCTTCAGGACCGCCACCAGGTGCAGCTTCAGGTTCTTCCGAACGCTGCTCACCTGAGACTTGGCCAGAGTCGGAGGGAGGTTGGCTGCAAAGACAGATCAATGAGGCTCTATCAGGAGGCATCCTGCAGGACCAGGTCAGACCAGGACCCCTGGTCAGGCCTGGGTAGCGGGTTCCGTCTCACCATGCAGCGTCTCGTAGGCCTGCACCACCTCAGACATGAACATGGGTCTCTGCCGGGCGATGGTGGCCAGAGAGCCCAGCGCCGTGGTCAGGTTGATGCTGGAAATGGCAGGATGGACCATGAACTTCAGCAGCTTCTCCAGGGCGCTCTTCCCCTCCTCACACAGCGTGTCTGCGGGTTCACCACAACAGGTTAGTGTCACAAACGCAGCATAGAGCTAGAAACTAGAAGCGGGTCCTGGGACATCACCATAGCGAATGTAGGAGTGGTCTCTGGGGACTTTGTCCAGGCTGATGTCTCCTTCCTGCCTCTTAGGGACGTCGGACTCTGGTGTCCGTGGCGACAGCGTAATGATCAGAGATTCTGTGAACTTGATGGCGTGCGTCCGAATGCCATCGTTCTCCGAGTCCAGCATGGTCAGAACCTCCCCGCTCATCTGTGTGACCAGATCCCAGCACGCCTCCTGCATCTCCGACACCGTTTTAGAGCGGACCAACCACTGCAAAGACACAACGGGTCAGGAGGACACGAGGTGGGTCTCTGGGCCCCCGGCGGTGTGGTGGGCTCCCTGGGCCCCCGGCGGCAGGTACCTGCAGGGTCACCCTGTAGAGCTGGGTGAGGGAGAGGACGGCCTTCTTCACCACGTTGACGCTGTCGTCCCTCAGCAGCATGTTGAGGTTGGCGATGAGCCTGAGGAGGAGTTCGTTGTCCCGCTTACTGATGGATCAGAAGCACAGCAGGAGCTCAGCAGGACGTTAAGATCTGCAGGATCATGATCAGAAGGTATCGGCTGGCTCACCACGCCTCCTCTATGAATCCGATCACAAACTTCCTCACTTCGATGGAGCGGTCCGTCTGGAAGGCGATGATCTCCTGCACAACAGAATTATATCAGAAGGGAAGCACCCCCCCCCACCCCCCCAGCCAGAGCGGGTCTGGGAACAAAATCACGATGAAAAAGTCTTCATCCTCTTTCTTTACTTACGTCCAGAAAGTTGTCGAGCAGAGACGGGTCTTTGTTGATGATCAGCTCCTGAACCTGGAAGCAGGAACAGAATCAGATCCGTTCTCCTCCAGCGTTCTCCATGGAGCTTTAGAACCAGACCACTGACCTGTTTGAGAACGTTCAGCTTCTCATCTGATGACATCAGCGCCGCCTGATTCAGAAGCTCCACAACCTGAAAGAGGCCAAAGATCCAGTCAGCAGCGGCTTCGGTTCCTCTGGGTTCTGCTGGACAGAACCTCAGAACCAGATTCTCAGGCAACAGAAGCTGCTTTAACATTATGGGGTTCAGTCTGAGCAGAGTCCAGGCCCCCCTAGGGGCACCCTAGGGCCCCCCTAGGGGCCACCAGGACTGAGAAGACAGGGTTTAGAAGGGAGGCATCCTGACCACAGGAACCAGCCTGGCCTGGTGGAGCAGCAGTAGCTGAGGGTGATGGAGCTCCTCAGCCAGCAGGAGGCGCTGCAGTTAACCAGGATTTCATTGATTGATTGATTGGTGATTGATCAGTCCCTCCCTCACCTCCTCCATTAAACCAGGTGGACCAGTTCTCCATCAGAACCTTCCAGAACTCAGGCCCGATTAAAGACTGGATGATAAAGGGCAAAGTTTTGACAGCCCACAGACTTCCTGTTTCTGCTTGAAATGAGCAGAAGCAGCTTTTTACCCTCTCACTGGTGCTGCTGTCGATCAGAGTAGGGGCCGCCCCCTCCATCATGCCGCCCTGGGAGCGCCTCACCGCCTGGAAAGATCCTGGAAATCCTGGAGAACATGGAGGAGCTTCAGTAGTGATTCACCAGGAACCGATAAAACACTTTTATCTCCTTTAGATATTGGGAACAATTAGACCTGTTAGCTGCTATGCTAACCCTGATGCTAAGCCGTTAGCTCTCTATTAGAACTCTTTATAATTAATAATCGTACCTCCTTATTTCGCTGCCGGGTTTAAGCAAACATTAATAACCAGCAGCCATTGAAGGATCTTCTTCTCAAACGATTTTCCTCCTTTATTTCTTAGAAAACTCTGTCAGCGCGGAACGTTAGCCGCCGCACTTCCTCTGCTGGGAACCAAAGGTCTGCGCAGCAGCAGCGCCTACCGGCCGGAGGGGGTATTACAGCCTTTCATCAGCGGAAGCCATCGGATCCTTTTTTTTTTTTTTTTTTATAAACTTTATTAGAAAAATTTTATAATACAGAGAAAAATACAATTTACAGTGAACAATCACCAGGGGTTTTAGCAAAATAAAATAAAAAGTAATTAAATAAAAAAAGTAATAGTAAATAGAAGCATTTAGGGGGTTATATAAATACTTTAAATTTAGAGGATAAAGTTATAGTCTTAGCAGCTTTTTTATTATAGGAGGAGGACAATGTAGAAAAATAAGTAGTTGCTTCCTTTAGAAAAGAAATACAGGATGGTTTAGTCACAATAACTTTACATTTGTGGGAAAAAAAACTGGCCAACAGTAACAAAAGATTACATAAGAAGAAATGTTCAGAAAGTTCTTTTTTTATATTTTGTGTTCAAATTTATCATAAATATTGTCCAGAATGAAGCGACAGATACCTTTCCAAAAACGCCTGGTGTGTTCAGAGGACCAGAACAGATGAGAGACAGACTCTGAGGGGCCAGGTTCTGAGAGTCAATGTCCTTTTTATATTTCACCAAAAATGACTTTACTGGATAACAGCGGTGAATGATCTTAGAGGAAACCTCTTTAACCTTGTTTACTAGTAAATATTTATTAGGGAAAGACCAGGTTTTGTTCCAGCAGACCTCTGAGGTCAGACCAGACCAGACTGAAGTTACGTAAGGAACTGAAATGCAGTTTGCTTGGAATAAAGTACGAAAATGTTTGTTATTTTTAGGAGATTTAGGTTGAAAACACAATTTACCTTCATAGGTGTCAGTTAGTTCAGTTGGAGTCTGACCTTTGAATAACATCAGAACACCTGGAGGAAGAGCATCAAAAACTATAGCAAACCGTTCTGGGTTTATAGGAATCTTAAAATGATTTTAAAAAATTCTTGATAATTAAAGATGTTTCCTTTTTCATTGAAAAGTTGACTTACTAGTGTGATACCATTCCTAAATCAGATTAAAAAAAACAGAGATTCTCTCTTATAACATATATCTTTGTTATTCCAAAGAAAGTCCCTATTAGGAGAAAAATGATGTTTGAAGATCGGTGACCGGGCTGGAAGGGCTTGTTTATGAAAGTTAGACAGAGCGACAGGAATGCGATCAATGTTAGAATTACACTGCAAAACAAACTTAAGACCAACTATCTCAGAGAACAAGTAGTGAGGAATATAACTCCAGATTGAGGGAGGATTTTTAATCCAGTTCACTTTGAATGTATTGTTGATTGTTGTAAAGTCAAGACCTCCTGCATCATAACTGTTCATTAAAACTGATTTTTTAATGTAATGAGTTTTGTTTTTCCAAATAAAGTTGCATAGTGTCCTATCAATTTCTGTGCACATCTTTTGGTGAACAGCCAGAGAAACAGCCGCATCGGTTAGTCTGCATATTCCTTCAGCTTTAGAGAGTAAAATTCTGCCCCAAAGGGATAAACCTCTTTGGAGCCATGAGTTAAATCTTTTCTTTGTTCTTTCTTAAATTGGGTTAAAGTTGAGGTCACATCTAGTGTTCTGTGTTTGGTTAACGTTATTCCTAAGTAATTAATGGTTTCTTTAATTGGAATATTGCAGCGATGAGAGAGTTCACATTTCTTAACAGCCATTAATTCACATTTGTTCACATTTAAGTAAAGACCAGAAGCCTCAGAAAATACTTTTATCAATTCAAGTGCTAGAGAAACTTCAGAAGAGTCTTTTAAGAAAATTGTTGCATCATCAGCTGATTGGCTGATAATAATTATTTTGTCCAGAACTGACATTCCACCCAACTGACTGTTTATTATGTGAGTAGCCAATAGATGAGTGGATAGCAGAAATAAATAAGGGGAAATGGGACAACCTTGCCGTTTACCACGTTTTAAGTCCAATCTTGGGGATGTTCCCTTTTTCAATTTGATTGAACTAGAATGTTTTAATCCTATTTTAAACCTTTAAATCGGTTTTTAAATGTGCAAACCCCATAGGGTAACCCCTAGTAACCCCATAGGGTAACCCGTAGTAACCCCATAGGGTAACCCCTAGTAACCCCATAGGGTAACAGGGAGTTACCATAACACAGGATTATAGGGCGATTTTTTATTTCATAAAGAAATATTTGTTTTATAAATAAATCGAGAGCAGCTGGTTTATTTATATGTTAGGAAAAAAAACCCAGAGGGAAAAAATGCGAAACCGTTTAGACGAACTACTGTTTCTGACTACACATCCCAGAAGTCTTTGCAGCAGGAGTCCGATAGCTAGCCAATGAGGAAGCAGGAGGAAATGCTAATGTTTACAAGCAGTCAACAGGCTCCAGTTTCCTGCTAAAAACACTGATTTCTGCGGCTGGATGGAACTTTTCTATCAGATCATGTCTGAAGTTAAATGAAGAAGTTTGACAATCTGGTAGGAAAATGTTTATTGCTTCTTTTTCTCAGATATTTCCACTGAGCCTGTTAGCTCTGAGCTACAACATTAAAGCTAAACTGGAATCGAGTTTAACGTTTGTTTTGATTGATCTTATTTTTGTTTATTGGATAGAAAAGTTTGTTCTGTTTTTATCTAAAG